ACAGGTTGAGAACCACTGAATTAGAGGCAGGAGGTTCTGGGAATTGTATAGCAGCTCAATAATATTATGGATTTGAGTATTTTCCTTTTTCTACTTGGTCATCTTCCATAGTTTGACCTTCATCATCCACTGGCTTAGAGCTAGGATTATGGCTGTCATATTGGCACACATCACAACATAACTGAAGCATCTCAAAGTGTAAGGATCAGGACAGGGGCATAAGAGATTTCCACTTCATGCAGCTATTTGTTTGAATCAGGGAAACAAGTCTTTCTCATAGATCCTTTAACAGATATTACCCAGAATAGGGTAGCATGACCAACTCAGCTCAATCACTGCAAAGGGGATATTGTCATAATTAACTTAAACCAATCATGATTCATCACCAAGGACTGAGACTCAGGGAGACTAAACAGAAAAATAGTATATTCTGCTATAATGTTTATGTTTCCGGTAACAGCCACTGTTTGAAGATTAACCCACTCATACAGGCATAGATACCTCAAGCTTATCTGATTAAAGCAAGTGTTCTGGAAAAACTTTGAAGACTATATATCAATATAGTTTAATATATATATATGTATGTACACGTACGTGTGTGTGCGCATAAATTCATAAATAAAAGATGAACAGTCACTCCCCTGATTACCAAGCCTCGCCTGTTTCCAGCTTTGGCTCAAGTTAGAGCAACATCAGGATGCACAAGTCAATGAAAACAGCATGGAGCTGGAGGAAGCCAGACATGATACACACCCTGATCCCACTACATGTCACCTGGGCACGGTAGTTAAGCCCTGCCTCAGTTTTCTCAACTGTAAAATATAAAGACATTACCTTCCATATATGGTAGTTGTGAGGATTAAATGAGACAGTATATGGTAATGGTGCAGACGTGATGATTAACAAATACAATTTGTTCTGGCAGTGATTAGGCCTATGAAGATGTATGTGTATAAACAAATGTTATAAAAAACATATTTCCGTCCCTCCAGGTTAAGTAACTGAGCAAGCATTTGGAAAGGGTGGTAGCAGACGAAAGAACATTAATACAATTAAGAGACATTTCTTTCAAATTGATATCAACTGTGCTCATTACCAGAGGCAAAAATAAAAATGGAATCGCTTTCATATTGAGGATTACCTAATTATTTCCTGGTGTAACACTTAGAAGTAATGGAAAATTTTAAAATAATAAAGCTTATAAAAGAAATTATTTATTAGGAAACTTCTAGTGACTTTAATAGGGGAACTATTTATGTAGGGTAATCAGAATATTTATATAGCTATTTTTAAATTATGTGAGAATGATCATTATAAAACAGGAGCTCACAGTTAGAGAATACTTCAATCCCAGGTTTGGTTCCGGTTCTTTACATGGACCAGTTCTTTCATTTCATACCCAACAACAATCCCATGAAGTAAGCACTATTATTGTCTCCATTTTTCTAATGAGAAAATGAGGACCAGAGGGATTAAATGACTTTCTCAAGGTTGCAAAACAAGTAACAGGCAAAAACTCAACCATTCTGCACTTTACTGCTACACTGTATAAGCCTTCACATATGTACAGCGGAGTAAGCAGTGCTTTTAGCCTAGGAGAAGAGGGGGAGGGGAGCTGCCATCACGGAGGCCTGGATGGAGCCTGCCTCTGCATTTCTCTACACCTTTAAACACCTGCACTATATGGGTAAGAGCAAGACTAGTGAATTCCAACTCCCAACAACCTTGGTGAACACAACAAATGTTTGAAACAAATATAAAATTTAATTTTGGACATAGCAAGCTCAAATAAATCACTTGGCATCAATAAAAAAACAATTAGTTCTACCATGGGAAACAGTGTAATCTCCAAGTGAAAAAACAATTTTCAAGAAAGTACACACTTAATTTGAAGATACTTTATTAAGATCAAAGATTTTTCATTACATTTATTTATAAATCTTTACTAGTCAAAGAAAATAAATAATAAAAAATCTGTATTTTCAGGATGCTTTTAACAACATAGTAGTAAATCTGAGAATTGTCCATGTTTGTAAGTATTAAATTATCATTTAGATACATTCAACCATTACACAATACCAGGAATGTCAGCCTTAAAGAATCAAGAATATCTATAATTGATAGGTAAAATAATGGTAAAAAATATTTCAATTCCACCCAACCGGTGTGGCTCAGTGGACTGAGTGTCGCCCCTTGGACTAAGAGGTCCTGGTTCGATTCCCAGTCAGGGCACATGCACGAGTTGTGGGCTCAATCCCCAGTAGGGGTGTGCAGGAGGCAGCCGATTGATGTTTCTCTCTCTCTCCCCCTCCTCTATCTCTAAAAAATCAGTGACAACATATTTTTAAAAAGAAAATATTTCAATTCCACCTTTTTAACTGACTCTCATTTGTTAATCATGGGAATATACATTTTTTCTTCTTGATCTTGGATTTGAAATATATGGACTTAAAATAACATTCTTCTTCTCTCAAATAGTGGCTGACACTCTGTCTTGGGAGGAGGCTACTCAAGGAATTAGTACAGTGAGGCGCAAGTGCTTGTTTCCTTGCTGGAGGAGGTCAGGGTGGAGACAGTACAGAATCAAGGGCCTTTTGCTGCAGTTATCAACCAGCCCTTGGAGCTGACACTGCCTTATTAAACTAAAACCAGATCCTTTGTAAGCATCAAAATGGCCATGTAAACATCACCTGCCAGACCATCTATAGTACCTGATGAAAGATTTCTGAAACTACCCGCCCTTTCATTATTTTCAAAATATTGTTCAACTCTAGTCTAAAAAAGGAGAAAGGTCTGGACAGTTATGTTTTTGTAACACCTCCAATCACTGGAAAAAAGGACTCAGTCTCCACCACCTTACACCATCTCTATCCCCACTAAGTCAGTTATCTGCAAATAAAAAAGATTCATGTAGTTATTTCTGAACAAAGAATTTGGATTGCCAAATTACTCGTATGATTGCCTGAATTATATTTCCCATTACTCTTTGTATAGCAAATCTGGATTTATAGGATATTTTTGTCAATAGTCAAACCTTCTAAGAAAGACTTGTATTTTCTTAGACCAACCACACAACTTTCAGTTTGGCTTTGGTGTCAGATTTGGTACCCCCCGCCCCCTTTTTTTAAAAACTATATTGCCTACTATTTAGTTAATAAATGTAGAAATCGTTGTTAGGTAATATTTAGTCTGATTATCTGAATATTTTGGGGTGTGTGTCAAGGTCATTACAGTACTTTTTGTCTGTTTCTAATATGAAATCTGACATGTCTGAAGGAAATCCAGTGGATAATGCTACCAAATATGCAGTGAACGAACAATACACCAATGGGTCTATCTTTGTACAAATAAAGGTCAAATATTTACATGGAATGCTAACCCTGACTTATAAAATTATTTTAAGTTATGTCTTACATATAATTTATTTTATGAATAGCCCCTTTTAATAATTAAAAATATGCCTTTCAAATAGTTAATAAATATATAAAATTTCACTACATTCTATTTTTCTTTATATATGACATCTAAACTCTCTTTACAAATCAACAAAAATAATTTTTTCTGTTTGAAAGTCACAGATACAATGCTTTTTTTTTTTGATTTGCAAGATTTTACTGCATGCAAGAATGGCAAGACATTGTTTCGTATAACTTATGGACATTTCTACCATTTTGAACTATATAATTTACTTGCTGAAGGTCAGTAGTATCAAAGGAAAATGAGAGATTCCATCTAAATAGTTATAAGAACCTTTCTTAAACTTCTTAAAAATGGAAAGATTAGAATGTTATCTTTTGAATTATTTTGATGAAGGAATAGGTTAAAAATACATAAAAAGTTTTCTGAAATACATCTTAGTACAATTTAAATATATAGTGATAAATTGTGCATATTTAACATTTTTCTTTAACTATATTTCTTTAACTGTATCAGTAACATGCAAAACCTCTGCTTTTGGAATAGGAATCACACTGTTATAACTTATTGGGAAAATTCAAAGCCAGCTTTAAAAAAAAAAGACAACCTTTTTGGTGGCTCCAGAAATGTTATCTAAAGATATACAAATAAAAACGTCCTTTGTAATAATTTGCTGCACCAACGTATCAACATTGTAAGATTAATGCTGTAAGGAAAAGTTTTTAGTTATGCATATAATCAATTTTAATCCTATCTTCCCTTATTAAATATTTGTTGTCACTGACAGGTACTCACAAGTCCTTTTCAAGCTATAACATGAAGGCCACGATGGCAGGCTTTTTAGTAATTCCTTTCAGAATGATTTTTAAATGCACACGCTGTGAACATATAGCAGGTCCTAGAACAATGTCATTTTGTTCAACATAAATTTCATTATAACACTGATGAGATGCCATAGTAACTTAATTCCTGCTTATATCAATTAGCCTACAGTAAAATTGGTTTCCTTATATGTCATTAAATACCCACTATCAGTGACATTAAACAAGGACTCACTGTACTATATATACATAAGAAAAAGCTTGCACTTTTAGAATAGAAAGAGGATGCCTATGATGATCCACCCAAAAAATAGAAAAGCTGTCCTGTCTGCCCGGAGCTACTAAGGCTGCTAAGTTAATTCTTTCAACTGCTAACAGGCAGGCTTGATGGCAGTGACCATGTTTGAGACCAGCTGAAGCACTAAACTCTAATATTTATTCTCTAGTTAAGTCTTTCTAAAAAATCCAACATCATCTTGGAGATAGAGCTATATATTAAAGACATACAGAAAATTCAAAGCTTTGTTCAGAATACAGTACTGTACAATTTCAATTTTGGATCTTATATTCAAACACTGTGTTTGAAATAAGGCTGTAAAAAGATATAAACAAAACCAACATTTAATTTTAACCAAGACTGCACATCTATGACAGTGATATAGATTAAAAACAAACAAAAAACATCCTACCACCAAAATGGTAACTGATATAATCATGTGCTCCACAAAAAAAAAAAAAAAAGATTATAGAAATTTCCCTTAGTTATGAATGTAACCAGCTCACTGGGACCCAATAAGTCTCTGTCTCCAATTTGTCAAAAGTTGTTTTTAGCTCTTTGAATGCCATGTTGAGATCATCATTAACTATAATTTTGTCAAAGAGATGACCATACTGACTTTCCATTATCTGTGCCGATTTAATCATTTCTTGAAAGTCTTCTTCCTACAAAAGGAAGTATTTCTTTTTAAGTAGTTAACCAGGCAATTACATGACTTTACATCCATGCAGACACCCCGTGCCGTTCTGGGCTGGTTCTCTCACCCCAGCCAGAAATGAAAATTACCCTCTTTAATTACATGTTCTTCAGAACTCATAATTACTAATATTACTTCTTTGATTTGCTTGTAAATAAACCAGTCTGACAAAGCCAAAACTTCTGTCTTACCTGGAGTTAGGATAATTAGTCACTAACTTATCATTATAGGGATAGTTCACTGTCAAAATAGTTATGGGGGAGGGCTAGGAAGAGCCATCTACTCTGACGCTGCATCATTTATACTTATTCATAGCAAGGAATTTACAGCATAAGCTACTTTTTCAGAGTTGGCGACATTTATAAAAGGACAGTTCCCAAATCCTTCCTTTGTTTCATTGGAAGTGGGTGACAGGCCCATCATATTCACATTTTTGAGCCAGGAAATATTTTAGTTGATTATATAACTCAAGGCTATGTAACCATATATATAAATGTGAACTAAATCCCAGGACTATGCTATCATTTATTATCTCCATTGAGAAAACTTTAAGTTTATAAATAGTACAATAACTCTTTACACTGCAACATACTAATGTAATTTCAAGTCCACATTTCAATGTTAGAGAAGATTTCTTCACAACAGAAAATTTAACTTTAGTGTTAATCAAGAGCCCTGAGTAACATCATATAGTGATACCTATTCAGCATGGATATGTATTGTCAGTATTTTGTAATAAATGTACTTATTAAACATTGGGAATCAAAAGTATAATCTGTATTTTGTAACCACAATTAATATATATAAAATAATATAGACGGAAGTCAAAGATGAGTTAATTAAGAGAGGAAGGGGAAAAAAGAGCTCTTGACATTTAATTTCTTTGCTCTTTATTTTTTATCCTAAGGTAGAATATATTATCTTAAAGTTAGAAACAAAAAAACAATGAAATGAAAGGGCTTGCCAGAAATAAGTGTAGTCATTAACATACTGCAGTTGCCACTTGTAATAATACTCATCGGAAAAACAAATATTATTGAATACTTATATGAGTCTACTAATTGTCTACCCAAAATGATGCCTTTTCCTTGATTATGCGAACTACTGTTGATATAAGAAGACAAAAAAGGCAAATTATTAAAATTTTCATTAAGATTATTAATGATCAATAGTAACTAACTTTAGTATTTTTCCCCTTAAAAAATAAGGGTAGTCTAAAATCTAAATGGTCTAACTTTTGTAAAAATGGCCTACAAAAATTTTATAAGTAGCCCTGGCCGGTTTTCTCAGTGGTTAGAGCGTCGGACCTCGGACCAATGAGTCACAGGTTCGATTCCAGTCAAGGGCACATACCTTGGTTGCAGTTTGTCCCCAACCCTAGTCAGGTCGTATGGGAGGCAACCAGTCAATGTGTCTCTCTCATATCAATGTTTCTCTCTCTTTCTCTCCCTCCTTCTCCCACCCTTCCTCCAACTCTATCTGATGATAAATAGAAAAATATCCTCAGGTGAGGATTAAAAAAAATTTATAATAGTTTCGAGTCAATTTAATATGAAGATCCAACCATGGAAGCACAAAAAGCAATTATAGTACAATCACTCAAAATGTATGCATCTAAATACAATCTTATATTATCGATTTTTGGATCACAACTTCATTTATTATAGTCTTCTTAATAAGGTAGTTGCCTACAGCATACATGATTTTAACTACTTCTTATGTCTTTTCACTAAAGCATCATCATACTTACTGTAAAGGGCTTTGCGGCACCCTCGTCATCTCTGCCTGAAATAATCTTTGCATTTTTTCTCGTCTCCCTCAAGCGCTCTATCGATGGAGGCTTTATAAATATCACATAGGGCTTAAATTCTAGTGTCCTTAAATGCTTCACTGTCTGCAAGAAAGAAAATAAGGTTTTTAAAATATTTCTCCATAATGTCATGAGCAACTTTTACAATAAAACAAAATTTTCTTTATAAGGAGAAAATTTCTTAAAATTATTTTCTAATCAAGGTCAGTCAGTCTTTCAATATAATATTCAATCAGTTGCTGACAATTAAATGTAATAAACGTCCCTGGAAAGATGAAGAAGAATGTAATTTGCCTTAAAAATGTTTTGAAATGTGGCATAATTAATATTGAACTGAAGTGGCTAGAAATACCATGAAACTGATTTTTAAATCAAATATCCAAAAGATGTTATGAGCTGGATAACCCTTCTGTATATGGAAGTCTTCCAACCATCCCATTTAAGTCTCTTCCTAATTTCAGGCATGAGTTCTCCTCTTTCCTCTCCCCTTCAGAGTGCCCTAACAGGGCAAGCCTCCTGCTCTCCATGAAGCTTGTCAACACTCCCCCACCAAATATTTTGTTATTTACACTATGCTTCTGGGGACTCTTCTATAATCAAGGGTTGCTGGTTTCTGCTGCAGGGGTGGGGAACCTTTTTTCTGCCAAGGGCCATTTGGATATTTATAACATAATACACGGGCCATACAAAATTATCAACTTAAAAATTAGCCTGCTATATTTGGTCCGACTAATTTGATGAGGTCTATGAAGTTAGCTGGTATTGATTTCTTGGGCTTTATATGGCCCAGGGCGGACATTCTCCACCCCTGAGGGGAATATGGTGTGGCGAGGAACTGAGAGGGTTCATCCACTGGCACTCAGTCCACAGTGTTCAAGAGATTTCCCAGGGTGCCAGGCAGAGACCTGCCTGACAGCTGCAATAAGGATCTCATGACAGAATTCCTGCGAAATGCCCCATAGCTCTAGTTATATACACAAAACCAAAATCTAGGATATATTCAGAACCTAGAACCAAAATGTCCATTGTTGTAAGCATTCTGCCCTGGCTGGTGTCACTCAGCAGTTAGAGTGTTGGCCTGTGGACTGAAGGGTCATGGGTTTCATTCCTGATCAAGGGCATGTACCTGGGTTGCAGGTTTGACCCCCGGCCCTGGTCAGGGCACATGGAGGAGGCAACCAATCGATGTGTCTCTCTCACATTGATGTTTGTTTCTCTCTCTCTCTCCCTCCCTAGTCCCTCCCACTCTCTCTAAAATAATCAATGGAAAAAATATACTTGGGTGAGAATTAACAACTACAACAAATTATAAATATTTATGATAACATAAGAATACATATAATGCAACATTTTTAAATAATACAAAATATAGAGAAAATCTAAGAGACGTTATACTTGGCGAAAACTGAATATAAATAAGACTTATAAACACAGACCTAGAGTCTTCTTCTTTTCTAATAATAATAAGGGCTTTTTATTCCCTAAAAACGTCTCATATTATATTGAAATGCTTTTGTTATCTTAGCAATGTCACATATATGCCCAAAGTAAGTAGACTTCAGAGTCACCCTGTAGTGAGATGCTCACGTGAAGCACAGTAGACCACATGGGCCGGAAGGGTATTGAATAGTTCACTGTTTACTTACATGAGGCTGGACATCCAACAAGCAAACTTTGTTTTTAGCTAAGACAGACCTAACTGAGTCTATACTTGTGCCATAGTAGTTGTTTTTATATTCACCATATTCAATAAACCTGTAGAAAATTAGAAATGTATCAGAATTATTTATGAATTCAATATATATAGGTAGCAAATATATAAAAGTAGCAAGACATAATTCATATATATAAAACATATTTTTGCAGAACATGAAATGTTTTTACTATGTTTAATAAAATAAATAGAGCCAAGTACTCCGGAATGTCAATTTAAAAAAATCTTTTATTTTACATTTTCAAATCAGTAACACTTGCTTGTATTACACTTCAGCAGAAAAAGTACTTCAGTCCAGCAGTACACTAATGTTTTCCATCACCTCTTTTTCAGAACTAATGCAATGCAATAAAACAGCGAATAAGCCAAACAATAGAAACTACTGAAATTTCACTGCACACTACAGAATAATCAGCTTTAGAAAGAGGAGGGGCTGGTTGGTGGCTAATGGAGCAAGGGGCAGCCAATTATGTGCTATAAAAACATAATCACTGTGCCAAACACAAAAAAAGCATTTTGATGTTTCAATAAAATTCCCCAATCCTGTATTAAAACACACATTGCTCTCCCTGATACGCTAAGAAAATTCATGCTTAAGCAAATGGAAGACCTGGGGAGAGGGAGATGTAGAACTAGCTAGAGGTTATGCTGCAAACAAGATGATTAACATGATTACAATTTTGTGAAAAGTCAATGAGAGAGAGAGGTGTGTATGTAGGAAACTGGAACTAGAGATGTATTACATTTTTGTTAGTTTAAAAAATAAATTTCTACCCAAATTATATGTTAAAATTCAAATAGTAGTTTGGAGAGGGTCACAGTCAGACACTAGCAAGACTCCCTCATTCTTCAAAATCATCCCTACACATTTATCTTCCAGAAACATAGCTGCTCTGGCTTATTGAAAAATTACAAGCAAAGATTGGTAATAAGTAGTAACTAAATTATTACCTCGTTACTGGTTTCAAATATTATAAAAAATAGAATACATTTCAAATGGAAGGGAACCCTCAGCTGTCTAAAACTGAATATACAGGCTCACACTTAAAAACAAGTCACACAAAATTCTAAAAAAAAACTTCCACTTACTTGTTATTTTGCACATCTGTCTCAAACAAATGCTTGGAAATGAAAATATATTCAACACCATCACTCTCCTGGCTTCTTCTTGCTCTAGTAGTGTCTGTGATTTAATTAAAAAGAGTTTAGAGAAGTCTACATCAGCCACACTAAGGAAAATACTAAAAAATAAATCATCTTGTATTTAATTAAAATACATTTCTTTCTTTTTTTTAGATTATCACTCGAGAACATTTTTTCATTTTTGTTCAAATAGAGTGGGAGGGAGAGAGAGGAAGAGAGGAGAGAGAGAGAGAAACATCCACCTGAAAGGGACACATCGAGTGGCTGCCTTCCACACAACCCCAACGGGGGCCAGGCACAAACTGCAACAGAGGTACATGCCCTTAGCGGGAACCGAACCCAGGCGGGCTGATGCTCTAAATGCCAAGCCAAACCGGTCAGGGCTATAGTACATTTCTTAAATAAGATTTAAAAATTTATAAAAAGGCAAATTAGTTAATAAAGTAAAATGTTATTAATTATATTGATTTTAAGGTGGATTCAAAATTAAAGCGTACTATGTTAAATGAGAGTGGCAAAAGTGGGCATCCCTGTCTTGTTCCCGTTCTTAAAGGGAATGCTTTTAGTTTGTGCCCACTGAGTATGATGTTGGCTGTAGGTTTTTCATATATGGCCTTTATTATGTTGAGATATGATCCTTCTATTCCCATATTGCTGAGTGTTTTTATCAAAAATGAGTGCTGGCTTTTTGTCAAATGCTTTTTTCAGCATCTATTGATATGATCACATGGTTTTTATCTTTCCTTTTGTTTATGTGGTGTATCACATTTATTGACTTGCAAATATTGTACCATCCTTGCATGCCTGTAATGCAACCCACTTGGTCATGATGAATAATTTTTTTGATGTATTGTTGGATCCGACTTGCTAATATTTTGTTAAGGATTTTGGAATCTTTGTTCATCAGGGATATTGGCCTGTAGTTTTCTTTCTTTGTAGTGTCTTTATCTGGTTTTAGAATTAGGATTATGCTCACAAAAAGAGCTTGGAAATGTTCTATCTTCTTGGATTTTCTGGAATAGTTTGAGGAGAATATATATTAGATCTTCTTTGAATGTTCGGTAAAACTCCCCTGTGAAGCCATCTGGGCCTGGGCTTTTGTTTGCTGGGATTTTCTTGATTACGTCTTCAATTTCCTTTGTTGTTATTGGTCTGTTCAAGTTTTCTATCTCTTCCTGGTTCAGTTTTGGGAGGCTGTGTGTTTCTAGAAATTTATGCATTTCTCCTAGATTGTCCAATTTGTTGGCATATAAGTGTTCATAGTATGTTTCCATGATCCTTTGTATTTCTGTGGTGTCAGTTGTTACTTCTCTTTCATTTCTCATTTTGTTTATTAGGTTTCTCTCTTTTTGTTTCTTGGTGAGTCTGGCTAAAGGTCCATCGATTTTATCTTTTCAAAGAACCAGCTTTTTGTTTCATTGATCTTTTGAAATTTTTTTTTTTAGTCTCTATGTTGTTTATTTCTGCTCTTACCTTTACTATTTCCTTCCTCCTACTAGGTCTGGTTTTTCTTTTTGTTTACTTTCTAATTCTTTAAGTTGTGGAGTTAGAAAGTCAATTAGGAATTTTTCTTGTTTCTTGAGGTAGGCCTGTAGTGCTATAAACTTCCCTCTCAGGACTGCTTTCGCTGCATCCCATAGTCTTAGCCACAGCAATTAGACATGAAAACAAAAAAGGGGGGGGGGATCCAAATTGAAAAGGAGGAAGTGAAACTGTCATTATTTGCAGATGACATGATATTATACGTAGAAAACCCTAAAGACTCCATCAAAAATCTACTAGACTTAATAAATGAATTTGGCAAAGTAACAGGATACAAAATTAATGTCAAGAAATCAACGGCATTCTTATACACCAATAATGAACTCACAGAAAGAGATACTAAGAAAACAATCCCATTTACCATTGCGGCAAAAAAATAAGATACCTAGGAATAAACTTAACCAAAGAAATAAAGCACCTATTCGCAGAAAACTACAGGTCATTGAAAAAAGAAATAGAGGAAGATATAAAAAAGTAGAAGCACATACCTTGTTCATGGATTGGAAGAATTAATGTAATTAAAATGTCCATACTACCCACAGCAATCTACAGATTCAATGCAATCCCCATCAAAATACCAACGACATACTTCACAGAACTAGAACAAACACTCCAAAATTTTATATGGAACCAAAAAAGACCCCAAAAAGCCACAGCAATCTTGAAAAAGAAGAACAAAGTAGGAGGGATCACATTACCAGATTTCAGGTTATACTACAAAGCCACTGTAATCAATACAGCCTGGTACTGGCACAAGAACAGGCATATAGACCAGTGGAACAGAACAGAGAACCCAAAAATGGACCCAAGGGAATATGCTCAATTAATATTTGACAAAGATGGCAAGAGCATACAGTCTCTTCAATAAGTGGTGTTGGGAAAATTGGGCAGCTACCTGCAAAAATATGAAGCTAGAACACCAACTTACACCATACATGAAAATAAACTCAAAATGGATAAAAGACTTAAATGTAACTTGTGAATCCATGAAAATTCTAGAAGAAAATGTAGGCAACGAAAGCTCAGACATCACACGCAGCAGAATTTTCACTGATACAACACCTAAGGCAACAGAAACAAAGAAAAAAATGAACACATGGGACTACATGAAACTTAAAATTTTCTGTACGGCAAAAGAAACAACCATCAAACGGAAAGGGATCCCACTATATGGGAGACCATAATTGCCAATGATGCATGAAATAAGTGGTTAATTTCCAAAATATATAGAGGGTCATACAGCTCAACAAAAGGAAGACAAAGAACCTAATTAAAAAATGGGTCTAAGACCTAAAGAGACACCTCTCCAAAAAGTACATACAAATGGCAAGAGACATATGAAGAAATGTTCAATATCACTAATCATCAGAGAAATGCAAATCAAAACAACAATGAGGTATCACCTCACACTTGTCAGAATGGCCGCCATCAACAAATCATCAAACAAGTGCTGGCGAGGGTGTGGAGAAAAGGAGACTCTAGTGCACTGCTGGTGGGAATGCAGACTGGTGCAGCCACTGTGGAAAACACTATGATGTTACTTCAAAAAATTAAAAATCGAACTGCCACTTGACCCAGTGATCCCACTTCTAGAAATATACCTTAAGAAACCTGAAACACTAATCAGAAAGAATATATGTACTCCTATGTTCATAACAACACTACTTACAATAGCTAAGATCTGGAAACAACTCAAGTGTCCATCAGTAGATGAGTATATTAAAACATTGTGGTACATGTACACAATGGAATACTATGTAGCTGTAAGAAAGAAAGATCTCTCATCCTTTGAAATGGCATAGAAGGACCTGGAGAGTATTATGCTAAGTGAAACAAGCCAAGCAGAGAAAGACAAATATCACATGATCTCACTTATTTGTGGAATATAATGAACTAAACAAACTGCTGAACAAAATTAAGCCAGAGACATGAAGGTGGGGTACAGGCTGACAAGCCTCGGGGCGGGGGGGAGGTTGTGGGGGAAGAGATAAACCACAGAACTTACATGCATGTATGCATGACCAATGAACATAGACAAGAAAGCTAGGAATGGGATGGGGGGGGAGGGGAGGAGGGTGTCAATGGGGGAAAAGTGAGAAAATTCTGTAACAAAAACAAATTAATAAATAAAAAATTAAAAAAAATTAAATTGTATGATGCCTTTATTTTGAAAGTATTCTTGTACATTGATTAAATAAAAAAATAGCATTTTTAATCCTTGAGAAATAAATCTTGCAAATAATATGCTTCTTATTGTTTTTTACTGGTCTTGATTCATTGAAGCAAATCTAATGTCCACAAGGTTGTAAGATGCACTCTGAAATTATTTTACTATAATTTCTTCCACACCCAGCACATAGTATGGCCCACCAATGCTTTGCTTTACTCACTGAATGAAGTCATAGACTTCTATGTGCTATTCATTCCATATTAGCAAAATGATAAACATCTTGGAATACTATTGAACTACCAAACTTTCAATAATTTTGCTTAATTATTTCCTACTGAATTATAATGGAATAGAACAAACAGGATTAACTTTAAAACAAAAACACCAAAAGGAGTTGCAGTACAGACATGGCAAATGGAAAACAGAATACTGACAACCTTCCTGCTGATTACAACTAAAAACTCTGGACCCAAAACAGCTATCTGAATATTCTAAAAATAAATAAAGCAGGTGGATTGTGGAGGGGAGTCAACCTGCATGGGGAAGAATCCATCCATCCATCCATCCATCCATCGACTGAACCGCAACTGAGGTACATGCCCTTGACCAGAAACGAACCCGCTACTCTTTGGTCCAAGGGCAAACACTCTAACTGCTGAGCCAAACCGGCCAGGGTGTTTCTTCTTCTTTTTTAAAATAAATGTATTTCTATTGATGAAAGTGTTACAGATATTCCCCCTCTTTCTTTCCCCCACTGACTCCTTCCACTCCACTCCCACCCCCTACACCCTACACCCAGGCCTTCCCTGCACTATTGTCTGTGTCCACGGATCATGCATATATGCTTAGAAATTCTTTGGTTGATCTCTTCCTGTCCCACTTCCCACTTTCCCTTTGAGGTTTGTCACTCTGTTCCATGCTTCTATGTCTCTGGAACTATTTTGTTTTTAGTTTATTTTGTTAAATTAGATTCCACACATAAGTGAGATTATATACCTGTCTTTCTCTGACTGTCTTATTTCACTTAGCATAATACTGTCCAGGACTCTCCATACTGTCTCAAAGGGTAAGAGATGTTTCTTTCTTACAGCTGCATAGTATTCCATTGTGTATATGTACCACAGCTTTTTTTATCCATTCATGTATTGATGGACAACTGAGCTTTTCCCAGATCTTAGCTACTGTAAATAGTGCTGCTATGAACACAGGGGTGCATATACTTTCTGATTGGTATTTCAGGATTCTTAGAATATATTCCTAGCGGTGGGATCACTGGGTCAAATGGCAGTTCAATTTTTAAATTTTTGAGGAAACTCCATACTCTTTTC